GGAATGATAAAAAAAGTGTTGAGTATTTTGGTAAAAAAAAAAAGAAGGGTTTCGCTATTACTTCGCTACAAAAAAACTTTTTATGAAGAACAAAGTAAGCAACAAACGTATAAGGCTAATCCCCACAAGCGAGTAAGCTTTTTGGCTGACTCTTACGGTCATTAGGTTTCTTTCTGATATTGACTCACCAGCTTACACACAACTAACGTGCGTAGAAACCGTTACTATTATAACAAATGTCAACTTGGCCCAAAACACCTGTCGATAAGAGCGAAAATACACCTTCGGGGAGGTAGAAAGAAAGGAGAAGCCTTAATCACACGAACGAGAATATTCTTATCCGACTGCTCGCATTTCGACACGAATATACCTTCACAGACAACAGCAGATAGAGGTGGTAGGCAAACAGGGATTTCAGCATTGCTGTGATTGCTGTGTCACGACGTGTCTGTTAAGTTTGGCAGTACCCGCCTCCATCACACATGGCTATGGCTGGATGGGATTATTTTTTGCTCGTCAGCGGCTGATTGGCTAACGAGGGAAAATTTATCGCAAGTGTTCATGGGAAAATTACTGGGCAATTTGGCTGGTCAGTGCTTTCACCGGAACAATGTTTGTCCACACGCTCTGCGCCAGATTAATTGCTTTGCGCAAGCTAAGTCCGGCTGATAAATAGAAGGAAGGAAAATTGGATCCATTTCAGTTTACCTTTGAAATCCCTTTATGTTTCCATGCACGTTGTGATGTCAAACCTTTTTAAAATGTATCGATAAATACAAGAGAGTGTGAAAAATCTACCCAGATAAATGAAAAGAAATAATTCACACAAGATCTCAGTGTGCAGTTTCCGCTTCGGGGATAGCACCTCAGCTATTGACGAGGCCAAATGACACGAACCACTTTTGATTAACTATGACCGAAGAAGAAGGCCTTAGACAGCTTGCAACGCACGCGGCTGTCAACACTAGCAGGGCTGTGGGCCTCGGGTAAATTAAAGCTACGGCCGGATCCCGTTGATTGAGCCGTTATTTGATACCTGGTGTCAATTGCTCTTACTGTGAATTCATGTACACACACCCGCGTCCAAGATAATTATCCACGTTTCTTCGGCCAAATCTGCACCGGACCCGATCAACTATGCCAAACATCTTTCGGCGAGACAGGGGATCTCCCAGTTTCATTGGTTTCATCACTCTGATCTGTAACTGTATCGGAGGACGTGTGTAGGTGGGCGTCTTAACCTCCAAGGAAATAAAATCACTAGAGATTGTCCCAAATTATATCTTTAGCATGCAGAGCAGCCTATGTATTTTAGTGTCAATATGGACGTAAGTACCTAATTGGTATTTACCTGCGGAAAACCCGCATTATCATTACTCGCCTATTTCTTCTGAAAGTTTTTAAAAGCGTTTTAATAAGTGACTGTGTCCACAGATCTGACACTGATATTATATAGCAAACCCTAGCATATAGCCCGCTGACTTGAACTAGTTTATTAGTTACGCTACTGGCATCTCCATCTGTCCA